GAGAGAGAGAGAGAGAGAGAGAGAGAGAGAGAGAGAGAGAGAGAGAGAGAGAGATACATGCATATATAGTTAGATATAGCTATATAGACATATCAGATATAGATAGATATAGATATACACACAAACATGCACACCCATGCATATTCTCCAACCAGATTTGTGAGCCCTCACAATTGGAAGTAATAAAAAATGTTCTCTTGGTGTTACTAAACTCCAAGACAGGAGAGATACTTCACTTGCAATCCAGGGGAAAGGAAGAGTTAATTAAAGAGTCAGCAACAGTGGCTATTATAAATGCTGACAAAGTGGGTAAACTTATGCTTGGAAATGCAAACCTTACTCAAAAGAAAGCTCAACTTCACAACCTTGAGCCAGAGAAGGAGTCCTGGCTTTCCTCCAACTTATCACTGCAGTCCCAAAATTCCTTCCTAACGTTCTGAATGTATGTATTTGCGAGTTATGATAGCAGAAGTAGATACACAGAAAAAAGATGGAGAATAGCTTTCTTCTTACCCCTTTTTCCATATCCTGATGCATTAGTTTTATTTGGTACTTTCAGGTACTGAATGCATAATGCAGTTTAATAGCTATTAGGCAGCACATGTTGTCACTGGCATGAAAGGATGTTATGAATATGCAGACCTTTCTAAATCAGGAGCGGAAAATTGTCTGGTGTCCAGGAGCACACTTAACATGGGCCCCCCTCCAACTGTGGTCTGAAGGCCACAAGAGTGAGACTACATCACTCATGAACAGGAACAGATTTTCAAGTGAGGGGATGTTTTGTTTTGGTTTTGTTTTGTTTTTTAAGTACACCTAATTTTCTTTAGGACTTATACTCCTAAAGAAGGGATGTCAGTTGCCTATCTGTTCTCCAAGGGCACAAGAACCTTGGTCATATCCTCCCATTCAAGCTGATACTGAACTCTCACCACTCCAGTTGTGTGCAAATGCTCATTTTGCATGCAGACTATGTGCTCTCCAGTAAACTTTACTATAGCATCGTCCTGTGCAATTTTAATGTTGCTTGTTTTATAATGTACATTTATAAAACCTTATAGCAAGCCTTAACACCCCAGCTATTTTGAATCTTAACAGGCTGATGTTTGTCAGAAGTAGTATCAACCCTAATTTTATGTTTCCCTTACCCCATGCAAAACCAATACTCTTTTAGAGTTCAAATTTTGCAGCCCCTTCCTAAGTCATCAATATTTATATAGGCCATTAGGATGGAGGTAAACTAGACCCAAATGAACAACTAAGAATAACTTGCTATAACATCTTGAGTTACATCTAAGAAGTTCAAATGCAGCACTTTCCATATTTAGACTGAGTTAGGAGCAAAATTACCATGAAGGATAATAATGGTTGCCATTAAAATATAACTCCTCAAACTTGCTGTTTGTAATTTAGTTTTCAAGTTTCCCAAAGACTGTACTTGATTCTTTTTGGGAAAACTCTCACAAAGATTACCAAATGGATTTAAGTCCCACCGTCTTGATGAAAGAAAGTGTGGAACCAGTCAGCTATTACTTTCCTTTTTCCCTCTTGGCCAGGAAGAAGGTAGAATCCCTTCCTATCTCATCCACTGCTGGCTGCCATCCAACAAGATAGCCAGCTGGATGCCTGCCTCAGTGCAGTGATAGGCAAGCTCAGGCAGAACTTTTAGAGGAAAGGAGCTCCTTTTACCAATATCTTAAAATGGCAACTGTAAGTGTAGTCACTGGTTCGATACAGGTCAAAACCAGGGATCTAATAAACAAGCAACAGATCCAAGAGAAATGACAAGAGACACAGTGAGGTGGAATCCAGAGTTCTAAGCATGGCACAGCAAGGTAAAATTGACAGAGCTGAGGCTTGAGAGGCTGTCCTCAGCGTTTTCTCCCAGGGAGTGAGGCCAATAAATCAGCCAAGCTGAGCCTCCTCCCAAATGTACTCCTGAGGCACTCTACTGGTAGGGCTCTACTCTCCTGCTAGCCTGTTTTGGACCAGTCTGGCTGACCTGCAAAACCCGGCTCTGCTTAGCACTCGGTGGCTGAACGTCAGCCTGAAAGGCTGTGTGTGGGTGCGGACAGGAGTCCTGGGGGCTTGCTGGATCTGCCTCAGCCAGTATGGAGTTCTTGGCTCCAACCCTGCTGGAATCACAGTCTCCTAGATGCCCTGGCTCTACTTCCTCCTCCCCCTCATCAGTACATTCCAGGAGAGGCATAACATCTGCCTGCTTTGGCATTTTAAAGATGTGGTTAGTAAGCAATAATTTGTGGAACAAACTCAATAAGGTTCCTTCAAGCAGCAGTGGCATCTATCAAGACCTTGGAAGTGTGCCTTCTCTGTCGTGGTGCCTGCCCTCTAGAATGAGGTTCCCCCTGGAATCTTCTGATGGTGTTCAGGTGTGAGTTAAAGACCTGGCTCTTCTCCATGGTTTTGGCCTAGGGCAGCTAGAGGCCCTTGCTGGGTGTGTGATATGTGTTTTTGTATTGTTAGCTGGATTCACCATCTTGTTTCATGTTTTCTCTTTCAACTATATTTTTTAATACTTTGAGCCACCCACAGTCGAAAGAGAGTTGGGTGGTGTCAGAATCAGATAAATAAGATGGGAGAAATTGCTGGAGATTTTCCTATTGACTAAAATCTCAGGGTCAGTTTAGTATTGATCTCCCACCTCTTTTATGTAATATTTTCTATTGAACAATTCAGGTCTGATGCCTGAATCAGGTTTACAAAAGGTTGGTCGTGCCAATGAACATTGGTGGCTTTGATAAACCTCAAAGTTCTCCATTGCCTATCCAAATCCCTTTTCCATCCGTCTGGGTGTTCTCTTTTCTTTGCTTCCATCCTTCCAATATATATTTTTTGTGCTCTTTTCTATGGGACAGGGTAAGAAATGTCACTATACTTCCATTTGATATGTTAAATGGTCATTGTGCTGAATTAACAGGGAAAAAAAAGATATTAATCTTATGGTATGGTAATGCAGAAGGGAATCACCATTCATCTTATCCTTCCCCATTTGGAGAACTGTTAAAAAAGTAAAGTCTCCTTCAAACTGATCTTGTGTCCTGGTGATTTCATGGACACATCCATGTAGTTTTCATGGCAATGTTCTGGAAATGGTTTGCTTGTGTGGAAACATTTTTGACTACTCAGCCTCATTCACAGTCCTGGGAATTAGCATAAATAAAATCAGGAAAGTATGGACATTAGCTGCAGTTTTCTCTCTGCAAGATTGTTATCTCCACCTAGAATCAAGCTTGTGTGTCCATAATATAAATGCTTTGAGATCTGCTTTTATTCTGCAACATGAACACACATCTTTTTACAGTTTCTTAACCATAGCATCTGGGACACAATAATCATTTGTTGCTTATGGCTATAGAGTAAAGCCTATTAAAATAATACAAGGGTCAAAACATTTACTTGATTTGGCTGTTGTATTTAATTGTAACATATAGCTTACCTTAAAACTTTATGGAAGTTGTTAAAGTTTAGTATGTGATTCAGAGCATCAGAATCCAAATTTCAAAGGCATTTAATTTATTGTTTTTATGTATTTATTCTGACAATGCAGTGTGCTTTGGTAGCCACATATAATTATTTTGTTAATGTCTTCAGTAGAAATTTTAATAGCATCCATAATGTATTTATTTATTTTATTTATTTGGCCACCCATCTCATGTTTAGGCATTTGATTGAATATATGAGGATTTATAAATAGTAGAAGGGCTTGCCCCATACATCTTGGAGTCCCATCACTTCCTGAACATAATGTGCTGTAATTATCTGACACAGGAGTATATATTCCACTAATGTTGTGGATGCAGGTAGTCCTTTAGTGATTACAACAGTGATGAAAAAATAACTTTGCCACCAGTGCCCCCATTTATGATAACTAAAGCCTTCAGTGTGAAGCTGATTAAGGTATGGTCAATTTCAGGCAGCAGTTCCAAGCCAGAGAGGGTTCTGAGCAACTAATTAAGATCACAGAGCTGAGTTTGTTAACTTGCCCTGAGCACTTTTTAGGAGGTGCTGTGCTGTGGAGAAAAACAACTCAGGAAGAGATAGCTTGTTTAAGCAATCTATCCTCCCTGCAAGGGGGCAAAAAAAAAAAAGAAAAAAAAAAGACAGGTCAGACATAGGACACTGTAGGAAAGAATTTTATCCAAATGAATTGGCTTCAAACAGCAATATTCACAGCATCTTTCTCTCTCTCTCAGTCACATGGTTCGCTTAGCAGTCATTTCTCCTGAACCAATTCCGGTCCCTGAACAAGGACTACCTGTATTAGTTTTTTTCCTACCACTTGCGGAGCCCACCTGTACAGAAAAACTGCCTTCACATAAATTTTTGGAAATTTTGCAAGGTTAAATGCAGAAATCTTAGCATTTTATATTTTGACCTGAGAAAAGTCTCTCTTCATGGACTGTCACGTTTGAAGCTAAACCCACAGAACTCACTGGGGCTTTCTTCCCCAGCCTCTTCAACTTCTGAAGCGTCTTGTGGGGCTTCTTCTGTTCTTGATTGCCTCTGCAGCCAGAAGGTAGTTCCCTGGTTTGGTCCCTGGCTTGGAATGCTTCCCTTGGATTTAGGAAGCTGTCATTTGAATATCTGGCTGGATGACTATCCTTCTGTAGGAAAGAACATTACAAGAGTTCAAGCAGCATTATCCATTGGTTACTATGGCCATAGTGCCAAGAACTATGAATCTCTCAAGAGTCTGCAAAAAGCATTAGCAATCTATATTTTATAGATTTCTGATTACTTTATGAGACTTATATATTCTTTATACTGCAAATATTTATCAACTATTCTATCTTGGGCATCTGTACTTATGAGAATCCTCAAGACCACGAAGTCTCTACTATGGCCCTCATTGACACAATTCATACATTCCTCATGCATCTTGCCAAAAAATGTCTGTGAAAGAAATATTTTAATTGTTTCACTAATCCTTGTATTTTCTTTTTCCCTGGTCCTCTCACCCCTCTTCCCAGTCTAATAGGATGGTGGGGTCATGACTACAAAACCAGGTTTCTCATGGAAAACAGTATGTATATTTCCCCTTCTGATTGAAATTAACATAACACAAATCCTTTTGATACAAGAAAATGTATCATTTTCGTTCAGGTTCGTTCCAACCTGAGATTAAAGAATTATTTTAAAATCCAAGTACCAAAGAATCAAAACACAAAAAGTTCAAATTTATACAGATGATTTGGAAAGGCCTCATTTGGGGCCACCTTTCTTCTATTGCTATAATGCTGCAACAATAGACAGATAAAAAGATAGAGAGATAAAGAGATAGGGAAAGAAAAAGTGTGTTAGAGAACATTACTTGGGAATTTTTAAAAAAACCCAAAAAACACACCACAATGTTAAAAAAAAATCAGCATTTTTATTACAAGGATAAAATAAATTAGTGGCTTTTACAGTTTTGGCCTCAACAGGTTGTAACAGGTGAAAATTCCAAATTTTGAGGTTATTTGTTGGCATTATTATATGCATCTCATTTAGCAGCCTACTTTTGTTTAATTTTGATCTAATGCTAACACTTAGTTTATGCTCTTTTTATGCATTTAAATGTGCTTGGAGCCTTGAATTTGGTATATCATATAATAACAGATAAAGTACTGACTCACGTCAGTAAACTACTACTCTATTGCTTTTTCTAAGTAATCCCATTTAGAAATATTGTAACTGTCCTGCCAGCAAAATAATTAGGAAAAAAAAATCTTGAAAGTCTTTAAAGTTACTTATTATTATTAAAACTAACAATTTTATTAGCCTCAAAAATTTTTTTAAAAAAGGCCTGTTTGCTTCTTTCATGAAAATATGAGCGTGTAATAACTGTGTGTAATTTTAATAGTCTTTAATCAAATTTGTGGGGATCATTTGATACTATGTTAAAAAGGTCTAAACACGTTAAAGCTAAATTTCTACTTTTTGCATTAAAAAAGTATTAAAATGGTTGGTATCCAATTGTTTTGATTAGCTGATAGGGTAGCATCAAAACCTGATTTGGAGGGCATGTGAGAGGATCAAGGGGGAGGCTCTCTGCAAAACAGGACATGCATTTAATATTGAATACAACCTAATATTTCTCCAACCCTACACAACCAGGTTTATTACACAGCCTATTCTTCTTACAGAACTGCAACTCAGTCCTGGAATCAATGGATTTCGTTTATCAAATCCTTCCATCTTATTGGTCTGTGCTCTTCATGCTAGCTTAGAGGTAAGTAATTATTTTCTCCTAAGGGATGAAATTCAAACAAAGGAAAACTTTTGTTTTATTAAGCAATATAACTTAATATATACCTGACTTCCTGTTTGGGATGCCGCAGTGAGTGCATGTCTCTTGTCTCTCTCCTGATTAAAAAGCTTTCAAACTTCTGTATTATCAGACTGTGTGGATAAGGACTTTCATCATTCAGTAAATAAAACTTTTCATTACATATTACAGTACTGTGCAAAAATTTTAGGCAGGTGTGAAAAAATGCTATAAAGTAAGAATGCTTTCAAAAATATATATTATAATTGTTTATGTTTATCAATTTACAAAATGCAAAGTGAGCAAATGAAAAAATGCTATAAAGTAAGAATGCTTTCAAAAATATATATTATAATTGTTTATGTTTATCAATTTACAAAATGCAAAGTGAGCAAACTGAAGAAAAACCCAAATAAAATCAAAATTTGGTGTGACCACCCTTTGCCTTCAAAACAGCATCAGTTCTTCTAGGTACACTTACACACAGTTTTTGAAGGAACTCAGCAGGTAGGTTGTTCCAG